TAGTTCGGCCTCAATTTTGTTTTTCGGCGATCTAGTGTCAAACCCCAAACATACAATAACACGAAAGCATTTTTACGGCTCTAAGTAGTAATATTTTTACGGTTGATTATTGCCGCGTGTAGTAGGTGAAATAAAGAAGGGAAGGATAAGAGGTGATTGTCTGAGATGGTTAGAGAATTTAGATTAAATTGAAAGTATATAAAATAATGTGATATAGACACCTCTTTCTTTCTCTGTGGACGAGAGTGTCCAAATGATCTAACCCTCGTAGAAAACTGACTAGTGGAGGTATAGTATTTAAGGGAGTAATTTGCCAGTTGTTTTAATAAATGTCATTTGTAATTTATTTCTGTTTCACGCCAGACTCACTCTCAATAATCACGTTTATCTCTCTGTGGGTTACATCAAAGAACTCAGAAGCATTTTACTCTCTATAAGAAAAGATCTCGGATACTGACGTATAGACGACATAGCAAACATGTGATATTGAGAGGGATAACATGTGATACTCAAAGATCACCGAGCGTAGGGAAAAAGGTAGCTCCTCAACAATTAAGACCACAAGTAAGGCGATAAATGCAGATTAATAGAGTAGGAGGTAAAGAGCGAGAAGAGTGATTTTCTGCTTAGTGCCGAAGCCTTATTTGTTAACTTTATGATGAACTCACGATCGCATACTATTATTAAGAAAGGCAGATAAGCTTAGTTACTTTGGTATCCCGAACTCGGAGAAATCTCTACTTCTTAGGGGAAGGTAGACCAAGGCAGAAAAGCCGCTCGCTCAAATCATACAAGCCTTTGCTTATACTTGATGCTCACGCTCTTGTCTCACTCCCCTTCCCTATTTTACCCTGCTCCGCTTCATTCTCCCCCTCTCCATTCTCAACTAATTTAATATACCTCATGTTTATAGGTGCTGAAAAGTATATAAGCAATTGCGCTGGCGCTGCCAAAAACTTTCAGTTCTTGAATTAATCTCGACAAATATAACATAATGTTGAGAATAGCAATCTTATTTTTCATTCTTCTCTCGTGTGAGAGATTACCTTCGATCTGTAGTTTCTATTCGATATCTTACGTGCGTTCTCGTGATTGAAGTCCCTTCGTACATGTAGCTGAGGTGGGTCAGATATCTAACCTGTTTTTCGAGAGCAAACAAAAGAGGTGAAAAAAGAAAAAAAAAAACGTGAAACCCGGCGAAGCACGTCGGTCGAAGGCGGGCTCCCTCCAGATGCGACCATGTCACTAGCGGGCTGTTTACCCCCCCTATAAATTGAGTTCCTGGAGACTAGGTCGCACCATCAAACTCTATATTTTCGGTTCCCTTGAATTCAAAACGACTTGCCTGGATCTCCGGCCGCCGTTCGCTGCTCCTCTTTCTCAAATGACCCTTACCGCGCAGTGAAAACACCCTCTTCATCCATCCTCCTCTGTTGGTCGATTTGTTTTTTGGTTTTTTATTTTCTCTGTTTTGCTTAGTTTTTTGCATCATTTGAGATATATTTGATTTGATGTTAGTTAGTTTGTATGTATGATTTGTTTTTTTGATTTTGGCGAGTGGGGGTGGGGAGAGTTTCGTAAATGAGAGGAGATTTTTGTTTGTTTGGCAGTGTGGAGTGGTGCAGTGTTGTCGTTGGTTGTGTCGGCTGGTTGAGAGAGGAGGAGAGGAGAGAGAAGAGAAGAACGTTGACGGCGAGGAGATTTTGTGTCCCTTTTTTCAAACTCACGTACTCGCACATGCCAACACGCACAACACTCATACACGCGACACACAGCACACACACACACACACACAACACACAACACCACACCACACACGACACACACAGCACACACACCACACAGCACACACACACACAGCACAAACACACAACACGCACGCACACGACACACACCACCGCACACTCACACAAGTGGGCGAGACGGGCGCATAGAGACATTTGGGCAGATACAGATGGCGTGGGGCACGAGAGGAGCAGAAGAGTACAGTACAGAACGCAGCCCACCAAGACGACCGGACGGATAGCATGATTGACACAAAATCAGGAAGAAGATAGATTAAGTTAATGGATGACAGAGTAAGATAAGCGAGAGAGTAGTAGGGAAAGGGAAGATAGGAGATAAGACAAGAATTGAAATGAATGTATAGAAAGAATAACGACGAAATGTAACATACGATTTCAAATTGGCAAATCAATGATCAGGCTGAAAGGAGGCAGGGAAGTCATCGTGTATTTTGTTTTTCTTTTGTCTTTCTTTACTTTCTTTCTTGATTTTCTTTTCTGTTTCATGGGTGACTTTCTTTTGCTTCTTGATTGATCTTTTGCGTGGCGCGTGTGATTCTTTTGTACTTTTCTTACTTTCTTTTCCCTTTTCGTATACTTTCTATTCTTTTTTCTTACCTGATACGTTTCTGATGGTACGTTGCTTCTGTTCGTAGGTAAGCCGTGCATTCTTTCTTGTTCGATTGTCACTTTCTGTGTGAGACTTTTTCTTCTTGAGATTCGCTTGATTCTTTCTGATCTTTACTGTTTTTATTGCTTAGTACTTTTCATGAACATTTTCTTTTCGTAGCTTCTTTCTTGTCGTAGAGCAAATACTTTGATCTTTCTTTTCTTGTAGAGTTCATTTTCGATTGCTTCTTTCTTGTACTTTCTTTTGCCTAGTATCTTTTGTGCGCACGTGTGTATGAGCAGTTATTCGGACGATTGAGCGTATAACTTTCGTTTTGGACGGTTTGCCTTTACTTAATCTTTCTGTTCGATTGTTCTCTTTCCTTTATCAGCTTTCTTTTTACTTACTCTTCAGTTCTTTTCTGGGAAGAAGAATAGAAGAGAGAAGTAGAGAGAGAGAGACGAGAGAGGAGGAGAGAGAGATGAGAGAGATGCGGGAGAGAACGAGAGAGAGAGAGTGTGTGTGTGTGTGTGTGGTGTGTGTGTGTGTGTTGATGTGTTGTGTGTTGTGAAGAGAATAAAGAATTAAATGTAGTGTAGAATCTTGAACCACTTATGCTCACTCTCCTTCTGGTGTTTTGGCAGTGTTCGGACAGCTGTTCTCTTTCAGCGTGACCCGACAACGCTCCATTGCCAGGATTCCCTTTTTAATGACGGTGGTGGATCTGGCTTTGATATTAGTAGTGTGGCGGAGGAAGAGATGGGAATATAGCGGGTAGGGTGAGAGATTAGGCGGACCTTGGCCCCGGAGAGAAGGGAGCAGAGCGCGAGGGGACCACACGACCGGGAGGCGTCGAGGCGTAGGGCGGAGGAGAGCAGGGATAGGTAAGAGAGGGCGGGACGGATGGGAAGGGGAAGGGAGAGCCAGGGCGTATTATTGAGAAAAAAGGACAGGAGGGAGGGAGAGGGAGAAAAGGGCCAGGAAAATTGATGAGGGACGAGGGCGGTGGGTGAGAATGAGGAGGCGAAAGGGGAAAGTGGAGAGAAAAGCGGCTGCGGACAGGAGCGCAGGGACGGTTTACGTAAAGGAGAGCTTTTATGTCCTCGAGAGTTGGACCTGGATCGGTCGGAGCGGAGGGAAGAAGTAGTTTGATTGGTATGTCTGACAGAGAGATTTTGAGAGATTCGCGTAGGTGTATTGTCATATAGTTTATAGTGAAATGAGATGATTTAAACCTTCAGCTCACATATGCAATCGTGTTGCTAGTTTAAAAAAAGCTCATTGAAAATGAAAAATCAGATAAGAGAAGTGACGGGATTGGATGGGGAGGGGTAGGGGGATTAGTGACTTTGAATTTGATCGAAGTAGGTGGTGGGGGGGGGAAAGAACCGAGCAGGTAAGAGGGGAGGGAGGAGGGAGGGGGGAAAGAAGAGAGGAAGGAGGGAAGAGTAGCGGGAGAGGGGATGAAGGAAGAGGGAAGAAGTTGGAGAGGGAGCAGATTGAGCGAGGGAGAGGGAGAGGGAGAGGGAGAGGGAGAGAGGGAGAGGGTAAGGAGAGGGGAGAGGCGAGAGGGAGAGGGAGGAGAGGGAGGAGGGAGGGAGGGAGGACGAGAGAGGAGAGGGAGAAGAGAGGAGACCGGGAGATAGAGAGAAGTGAGGATGAGAGATGAGAGAGTTAACCAGAATGAGTTGAGGACCCAGATAAATATAAATAAGAGACGAAAAGAGGTAGAGGAGAAAGAGAGGGGACGAGGAGAAAAGCTCCGAGGATTATGCGGAGAAAGAAAAAAGCAGAGTAGAAGAGAAAACAGAATGAAAGCATACAAACGAATCAAATCCTAAAAATACATATAAACAATCCGCCATCCCCTATGAGAGCATAAAATTTAAATGAGAAGTGCTGCGGACTCAATGTGCATAACGTAGCACCGTCTTTCCACCACCCAATCACCTCCCCCACCCGACCAAACCTACTGACATCCGACACTAGTAAGTTCACCTCTCTCCCTTGGGTCCGACATCTCCAGTTTTGGTGTGCTTACTACACACACTTCGGCCGACTTTCGATCTTTACTCGTACAGGTAACAAGGACAGGAAACTGAGAACGAAAGCATCCCTAGAAATAACCAATGAAGACATAAACTAACATAGAATAACAAAATAGGCGCTGTTGCTTTTTCCTCCGTGTCTTGGTTTTGCTCCTATAAATAATTTATGTTATTAGGTCTTTTTTTCAATAATGTACTAGTCCCACACGTGGGTTTTTCTTTTATAAATAATTCTCTTTTTTAGGTATTCTCCCTGGGTTTTTTCTTTTATAAATAATTCTCTTATGAATAATTCCCTTTTTAGATATTCTCTCTGGGTTTTTCTTTTATAAATAAATTTCTTATAAATAATTCCCCTTTAGGTATTCTCTTTGGGTTTTTCTTTTAATAATTTTCTATCTCTTTAGGTATTCTCAATGTTTTTTTCTTTTATAAATAATTCTCTTATGAATAATTCCCTCTTTTTAGGTATTCTCTGTGGGTTTTTCTTTAATATATAATTCTCTTTTTATTGTATTCTCTTTATACAGTACAAGAACACTGCTGGAAGGTTCATGCACTGGAAGAACTGACTGAACGGCTGTTGGTCTGTCTGCTGTCTTACCTGAATGATTTCTTCTTCTTGACCTTCTTTTCTTTCTTTTCCTCCTCTTTCTTTTCTTCTTCCTTCTTTTCCGCCTCTTTGTTGTCCTCCTTGTTCACTTCGTTCTGCAGGGGAAGAGAGAGAGAGAACACGTTAAAAAAAAGCCGTGCAAAAGAAAAAATATATATACATAGATAGAAAGGAGATTCGTCCTCCTCATATACATCAACAAAAGTAATGCAAAAAATAACCAATAACTATAACAACCGCATCAGAATACCCCCCCCCCCAAAAAAAAAAAAAAAAAAAAAAAAAAAAAAAAAAAAAAAAACATCATCTTATTACCCACAATCCAAACCCCTCGAGAACACCCATATATTCCCCCAAAATCCCCATGCGCACACCACAAACATGGCAGGTACAGGTAAGCTATAATCAAAGTCAAGGAGATGGGGAGGGGGGGAGAGAGGGAGAGAGAGAGATACAGAGGAGAGATATATATAGAGAAAATATAGATAGAAATATATATATAGAGAGAGAGAGAGAGAAGAGAAGAGAGAGAGAGAGATTAGAGATAGAGAGAGAGGTTGGCATGGAGGAAGAGGCGAGGAGGACGGGCGCGGCGGGCGGGCGCGAGGGGAAAACTCTAGGGAAAACTCCTTCATGCGACTCCCGAAGGAGGGGAAAATCAATGTTTAGGGAATTTATGACCCATCAAATGCTGACTGTCACAGAGGGGTTCTGTCGAGGGGAAACTCAGGGGAAGGGAAGGAGGGGGGTGGAAGTGAGGGGATGAGAGGAAGATCCATATCCCATTCAAGCCAAGATTCTCGAGACACCTCTGCAAACAACAGAGCCAAGTCCTCATCCCCTAAAAACGACTTCGAAGTGCAGTTCCTCTCTTCCCTCCACACTCCCCTTCTCAGACGGGATAATCCTACCCCATTTCTCTACCTTTCCCTCCACCTCCCCCCCCACCCCACACACACCAACAGCCCCATAACAATGATTCCTACACCCCCACCCCACCCCCACCCCCACCCTACTACGCGCCATCACCCTCCCCGCCCCTCACAACCCATCCCTGCCCGAAACCGTAAACGTCCTACAACTTCTTTGTGCTTACTTCCCCGGCTGCAAGTTTAACGACGCCCATCTGGAGCGGCCGCCGTTGTTAAAAATCAATGCCTCAAGGAATTACGCTTTTACGGCAAGTTAATTGTTTATTGTGTCTTTATTTACGGAGCGGGCGCAATGCGTAGGAGGAAGAGGGAGGAGGAGGGAGGGAGGGAGGAGGGGAGGGAGGAGGGAGGAGGAAGGGAGGAGGGGGGGGAGGGGAGGAGGAGGAGGAGGAAGGAAAGAGGAGGGAGGGAGGAAGGAGGGAGGAGGGGAGGAGAGGGAGGGAGGAGGGAAGGAGGAGGAGGAAGGAGGAGGGAGGAGGGGAGGGAGGAGGAAGGAGGGAGGGAGGGAGGAAGGAAGGGAGGGAGGAGGAGAGGAGAACGCGAGAATCGGCAAAAAAGGGAAAGAGAAACGGCAGCTCCTGGAGCCATTAAACTTTCCTTTAAAACGCGAGAACGAGAAAATAAAAGGTGCATAAAAAATAAAAAATGGCAGAGGGGGGGGGAGAAAACCATGGAAAATGGAGGATAAAAAGTGGAATATACAGATAAAGCTAAAACTATATGTCGAGTTGACGAAAAAAAAGAGTAAAATAAGCAACAAAATCCAAAACCCACGGACATTCTTCTGCGCTCGAGGCGAAACAGGAAACATTGTTTACTGAACTGGAGTGTTTAATCTGAGGAAGGAAACTCAAGGGCCAGTAAATTCTTCGCTTGTCTGGTCAGGGTCCTTCAGGAGATGGGATTAGGGAAATGGAGAGAAAAGAAGGGGGAGGAGCCACATCAAGAGCAAATACGTTTCGGAATTCGAGCTCTCCATCAGGGGAAAATCGTCGAGATCAGCCATTCACGTACAATCTACACAGCATGTATGATATACACATAACATATTTCAACGATACAGACAGACAGTGAGTGGGTGAGCGAGCGAGTGAGGGATTGAGGGAGTGAACGACCGACCGAGTGAGGGAGTGAGCGTACGGGCGACGACTGAGCGAGTGAGTGAGTGAGTGAGTGAGTGAGTGAGTGAGTGAGTGAGTGAGTGAGTGAGTGAGTGAGTGAGTGAGTGAGTGAGTGAGTGAGTGAGTGAGTGAGTGAGTGAGTGAGTGAGTGAGTGAGCCGAGTGAGTGAGAGTGAGTGAGCGTGAGGGAGTGAACGACCGACCGAGTGAGGGAGTGAGCGTACGGGCGACCAACCGATTGAGGGAGTGATTGCCCGACCGACCGAGTGAACATAAAATCCATGGAAACGACAACCTCGACACCAGCACCGCCTCGCCGCTGCCGACCGGCCTACCGTGCCCCATCGACCAGCAGGCACAGCGGCGGGCCAGAGCAAACACCATCCCTCCTCAAACAATGCCAAGATTGCACGGCCGACCGACACGCGTCCCCGGCCGCCCAGCTCCTAAGGGCAGGTCAACAAACATCCACCTGGAGCCCTTAAGCCTAACCTGCTTCCCGGGAGAGCTCGTACAAAGGCAAATAAACACAAAATTGACATTCAGAGCAAAACAGAGGTGCCTACTCTCGGGAGAAAGTAGTGGGGAGGGGCGTGTCAAGGGGAGCATTTACAGGAATGGGAGGGCAGAATTTATCACCGCCAGGGAAACAAAAGGTAAGAGACACGAAGGACACTAAGAAGAGGGAGAGGGAGGAAGAGGGAGGGGAGGGAGGGAGGGAGGAAGGGAGAGAGGAAGGGAGGAGGAGGAGGGAGGGAAGAAGAGGAAGGGAGGGAGAGAGGAAGGAGGGAGAGAGGAAGGGAGAGAGAGAGAAGGGAGAGAGAGAGAGAAGGAGAGAGAGAGAGAGAGAGAGAGAGAGAGAGAGAGAGAGAGAGAGAGAGAGAGAGAGAGAGAGAGAGAGAGAGAGAGAGAGAGAGGGAGAGAGAGAGAGAGAGAGAGGGGGGGGGACACGAAATAGTCAACAGTTGGTCGGCCTTATTTTAGAAGATTGAAGCGGACGCTAAATGTCCTGTGATTCCACCAATAAAAGGACTGCTACACATCGACTAAAGCGAGTGGACAAACGCCAAGTGGTAACAAATTAATACATTCACAAAAATAAAATAATAGTGCATGGATACAGACCACGAATCCGTTTAAGCGACAAAATGCCCGAATTATGTTCCCATATAAAGCCCGACGGAGAACTCTCCTTCTCTTTATACCTTGTACGGTCTACCTCCCCCCAACCACTTCCTTTCCTATCTACCATTATCATTCTATCATCTTCCTCCTATATCATGCCAGACCATGCAACTGCCCAAAGAAAAGGCGACCTTGCGCGTTCACGTGAGCGAGAACGATGCTGCCTGTGACAGCGTATCCTCCTCTCCAACTTCCTTCTCAATTATCCTATCGCTCACAACCCCCTATCTGCGACACGGCAACGGCGGCGACTGAAAAGACCGAAAAAAACGGACACAGCTAATTTGGCCGAACGATCTGAATTTTCTCTTCCACGTCGTTTCCAGGAGAAAAAAACGTATTAAAGTTGCAATCTTCTTGCAACGCCAATTGGGAAATACTGCAACAAACGAAGCTTCCGTCCCCGTTTGGAGGGTCGCCTATGCTTGATGGCGTCTACGTTCTCTCGATTCGTCGGGTTTAAACAACCTTATTCTAAAAGAGTGAAAGGGCGTTTCAGCCAGTCAGTCGACCAGTGAAGGAGTAAAAAAATAAATATGCTACTTATGGAAGTCTGGGAACCCTTCTCCAAGTTTCTGAAAGTCGAAAACTTGACCTTTTCCGATAGGCGTTCCTACATAAAAGGGGACAAAACCTTGACAAGGTCTGAACATCAAATCTTTCCCCAATCTCTAATAGCCGGGCCTTCCGTTCCAGAAACTCAAGATCATATCACAGCCTCCTCTAATGGGATTATCTCATAACAGAATTGCTAGCTATCTTTGTTATCGCCTGACCCACGACTTCCGTCCAATCTACGACCTTCTCATCAGCATGCTTAACTTTCGGTCTCTTAGGAGTCGTTTGCTTAACTACGCAGTTTCTAACAATGCCATTTTTTCGCCGCGGACCGAAAAAGAGGAGAAAAACTAAATTAAGAAGTTCATGAATGCCGATTAGACGATGCAGTGTTTACCCCAAGTTCAAACAAAACAAGTAGGTCGCTTTAATCCGCTAACAACTACATTCCTCCCGCCCTTCTTTGGCGTATCTTTTGGCCGTTGTGGGGGGAGGGCATAAGGTCGATATTAGCAAGGGCAATTTGAGGGATCAGCGAAAGCAACGCGCTGGTGGTGGAGGCGGCGGCATCCGGAGCAGGAAGGGAACCGGTTCGGCGAGAGGCTCGTATAACCTGCTCTGCTGCGGTCTGGCACGGGGTGGGGGGAGGAGGGGGCCTCTCTACCCCCACTCCTTTCCCCTACCCCTTCCCTCCTTTCCCTCTCCCCCCTCCGGACTTCACTATCCCTCTTCATGACTTTACTCTCATCCCCTTCGCAACCGCAACTGCCCTCCCTCCTGGTCACATACCCCCTCCCCCCACGCGCCAACCTCCGCGCCGATGTCCTTATTCTCTACTCAATATTAGTTTCATTCATCTTGCAACAGCCGATATTACCCAACCCCTTCGAACCACAATGCCACGATTCTTTTCAACCAGCCTCCCCTCTGTGATACGCACTGCGGTGCAGAGCAGCATGCAAGCCAGCAACGCAATCGCCCCGAACGGAATTCATCACCACTATGGCCTTCCAGACAAACATTGGGTCATCACACAACGGCGCCCAATTAGATTATGTTTACGAAGCGCCTGCGAGATAGTGTCCCTGACGTCACCAGATGAACTTTAATAATGCCTCGCTACAGACAAACACGAGAAACGCGATAGTCATCCTCCTGGCGACAGCACGGTTCCCCGCAAGGACATCGTGCATCTGTAAGCAAACAACCCCCCCCGCCCCCCCCCCCCCCCGTCACTCTCACACCAAAGGGTGCTGCATCAAGACGTCCGAGAGCCCAGCTAAGCATACCACGTGGCCGC